TGCAGCTCCTAAAATCGAGATCACCTCATTAATGACAGCTGTAACGGCTTGTTTCATGCGCTCTTTGTTCCAATTCAATCGAGCATTCTTTTTTTTATAATGCTTAATGTCTGGTGTAATGAAATGTAATCTTAAAATCTCTTATTTTTTAGAAATTCTTGCATACTTACTATTATCCAAATTTCTCCACTGTTCAAATTACCCCGCTGTACTCTATGTTAATTTAAAACAATTTATTTGATGACATACTATCACATGTATTTTTAATTTGACACTTGACAAATGCAAGAATATAACTCCATGGAAGGTCGCGCGTTTATCTATGAAATCGATGTCCGAGTTTTCGCTATACGGCAAACTTGATTGCAAACTTATCGGGAAATCTGCAGAAATGAAGGAATACACACATAATTTTTCTGAGTACTTTCCCTCTCTCTTTCTCTCTCTCTCTCTCTCTCTCTCTCTCTCTATATATATATATATACATATATACGTTTATCTATATACGCTTGACGACAATTGCTCGTGAAATGTTCCATCGGCGAATCCTTTCAGATCTCCGAATGGAAGTTCAAATCGCTCGTTATCGCCATACCCTGAATTCTTTGTGCAAGAGATTTCTAATCGCGCGTCCGCGACAATGACGATATTATACGCGAGCTTGAGATCTGCAATGGCGTGTTTTCATCCTCAAATCTCGCGGTTTTGATTGAATTCGCGCCCGGATATTGTGCGATTGACTACACCATCTGGCGCTCTTGTAGATTTTCAGTTTGTTTGTTGAGGACGTTAAAAAATCCGTTCGAAAAATTCGCTGCCTGATGATTATTTTTTAAATCACCTTTACTTAATATTTTCCAGTCAAAATTCTGTCGTTATTGTGATATCGGAGAAGAAAAAACCTCAATCAAAGTTCAAAAGAGATTCTGTGAGATTTACGTCAGATTTGTACACAAATGTTTTTCATTTAATTTGCGTTCTACAAAAATGTTTCAACTGAAGTAATCAAGACGGTAATTTTCCGCAATTTAACGGAAAACAGTGATATGAAATTTTTACGTTTTGAATTTTATAAAAATTAAAAAAATATTTTATTTAAAAATATTTTACTCACTAAACTCGCACAACAAATTGTGGCATATACAGAGTGTAGTACAAAGGTCCCGTAAAGACACTTAAGGGTAGATTCCTGAGATCATTTTAAGACAAAAATTCTAATACAAAAATTTTGAGGTTATAATAGTATTTGAATAATATATAAGTGTTTAAAGTTAACTAATCAGATCGTCTTAAGTTGATACGCTCAGGAATGGTATAACGCAAAGTCATAAAAACAAAAGCTGATCATTTATCCCTTTTATTAATATCGATATAAGAACATATGATGAATATAAGATTATTTTTATTGATATTTCTGCAAACACATTGCGCAATAACATTGTGCAATAATATTTTCTTTTTTATAATAACACTTTTTGTCTTTACATGATACATAAAGCGCAAATTGTCAGATGACATAGCTTTCAAAAATCTGTTATCATTTGCATATCTTAAAGGCAAAACTGTAGTTATCAAACGATACACAATTAGTAAATGATACTTGCCCTACAAGTATTAATGATACTTGGCAAGTATCATTTGCTAATTATGTATCGTTTGATAACTACAATTTTGCCTTTAATATGCGCAATTAATAACAGATTTTTGAAAGAAATGCCATCTGACAGTTTGCGCTTTATGTATCATGTAAAGACAAAAAGTGTTATTATAAAAAAAAAAAAATTATTGTGCTGTGTACAATGTGTTTGCAGAAATATCAATAAAAATAATCTTATATTCACATATGTAATTTTTATATTGATATTAATAAAAGAGGCGATAAGTCAGCTTTTGTTTTTAGGACTTTGCGTTGTGCCGAAACCTGAACGCGCCAATTTTAGACGATTAGTTAACTTTAAACACTGATAATTCAAAAACTATTATAGCCTCAAAATTTTGGTATTAGAATTTTTGTCTTAAAATGATCTCAGAAATCTACCCTTAAGCGTTGATACGGTTTTTACGGGACACTCTGTACAACAAAAAAAGGAATCAAATTTCATAATTTAATGACAATCGTTTATATTAATAATTATTAATATTATTTAATGACAATTGTTTATATTAATATTTATTAATATCAAGTGATTTATTAATATTAGGTGGTATTTCCTCCTTCAAGAATGTGCAAAATTGTCAGATTCATCATAAAACAAAGAGATTTGCACAAAGATTTCTTCCTTGTAAAAAGGGTATACAATTTTTCTTGGAATCCAAATTCAAAATCAATGTAAACCGCACATAAATCCACAAAGAGGAGTTGTATCCTATATCCAGAAACGAATATATATGGCCCAAATTTTCAATCAGAAAACGTACAAAAATGTTTACCTAGAAATCAATCCAGAAATTAAAAGGTAATCGGATTCAATATGAACCTATACGCAAAATGGCGAACTTGTTATTTGTAAATAATTACACATTAAATTTAATAGATAGGAGTAGCAGTAGTAGGGTGTGCAGGTAGTCCGTGCGACTCGATTGCGTCGTTTAATAGATCATATAATTCATTTTGTTCGTATCAATAAAAAAAAGTAAAAACGTCATAGTCGCGATATATTATTTCGTAGGCAGGTAATTGCTTTGTATAATTACCAAAACATGATTATCAATTTCTGTAGTTAGTATTATTGTAGCTTTGTATTCATATTTTACAAATTGTATTTAGTTTATATTTTTGTCTGCACGTTTTAGTTATAATAAATAAAGTAGGTAACTCTTTAATCGGTAAAGTCAATACAATCAGCCTTGATCTATACTTTCCAACAAACACCGACAAAACACTAATAGTAACATAACATTAGATTTGATAACCTCAGTTATAATTTTTTAAAATTTGTTAGAAATAGATTAAAAAGAGAAATGTTTGATTATGTTTTTATTCAATAAAAATATTTGAGAAAAATAGATTTTTTTTTATATGGCAATATATGAATGCAATAAATTTAGAAACTTATAAAAATAATGTTATGTTGCTTTATTTTCCATATTTTTAATATTTTATTATGAAAAAGAGAGAACATATACATCGGGCGGATATACATGTGGGCGAAATGCTACTTTAAAAAAAAATCTTTACTGCGCCTATATAAATATTAAATATGTGAAAATATCTCATATTTTTTTCCTGGCTGAGAACATGAGGTGATATTTTTTCACATTAAATTCTTTACAGATTCGTATAGATGCAAGTTAGCATTTATTAGATATCGCGAAGTTGAGGGGAATTTCACAGGACTTGATTTGAGCATCGATTTATTAGATTGCCTTTGGCAATTTAATTGTAATATTACATATTACTTGGTTCAGAACTACGGAGATGCACGCGATTTGCGGATACGTGGTGTTTAAATGAACCGAAAATTGTAAGATTTACACTAATATTATATGGAAGCACCAAAATCCGCTTTATGCCGTTGTTAGCGTTTTAAGATCTCAATTATTAGTTAATATTACACGGTTTTTCCTGGTACTCATATTTTTTTATTATCATTTAAGATAGAAGAAAAGTTCCTTCTTTTAAGTGTGACCGCTAATTTCTTATTTAGGACTCGGTAAAAAATTAGAAAAAGCTTAATGGAAGTATATTGAATCCGGTTATCTTATTGTTAGTTTTAATTTCCTACTTAAGAATTTTTGTACTTTTTCTGATTGAGCTATTCGGGCCATATTCGTGATTTCTGGATATAGGACACAACTCCCTTTTGTGGATTAACGTGCGGTTTACATTGATGGCGTCATTAATAATTGATAAAGGCGTCAATTACTCGAGATTCCGTTAGACTGATGAACCGCGGGACAATGATAATGACCGTTATTTCCATGACATGGCTTTATCAATGTTGATTAGAAGATTATTGGATCTGACGTTGCTCCTGTTGCGAAGGAAACAGATCTTCTCAATTGTGATGTCTCGATCCATATATAACCGTTTTCTGTACCGTTAATAGAGAATTGTGTCATTTAAGTTGGTCGTATTTCTTTCGTTTCATTCATCTTCATCATTTATGAAAGAAATACGAGAATAGTTTATCGAAATAGAAAGAGATCCATAGTTACATTTTTTATTGAAATCTTACTTTATTGAAAAAGAAATATATTTTTAATAAAGAGAACAAATATGCCATTAAATATTTTAATTAGTAAAATTTTTATCTTTTTTATGTATTAATAAAATGAGAGAGTTTATATAAGATAAAAAATGTTTGCTGTAAAATGTTGAGTGGCAAACAAATGTACATTACACATGTGTTGTAATTATATATAAGCAGTCCAGCGTAGCTAATATATGAAAAAATCAGATTTCTTAGTATCAAACTTTATGTATTACTTTTCTACGTTTTCCTTCTTTGATAAATAATTAAGTTTCGTTGTCCTTTAAGTTATTTTTCAACTTTTTAGAGATCTGAAGTTTTCTCCGTTCTTTATTTTGCCTTTCTATATTTCTTTATTATAAAATAAATAAAATTTATTAATTATTAATTCTTTTTGTTCATTGGTTAATGTATTCCTTAGTAACTTTATATGGCAAGTTATTTATTATATATGCGTGGATTATCGCTAAAACTTATCTTCTTGTTGCAATACACGCGGAGATTTCTTAATTGTTTTCTAAAATTCAATTGCAAATTTTTTCTTGAAATGTAATGTCTTTATAAATGTGTAAAGATTTAGTTTCAACTTTTTATTTTTTGAACCTATAATTTTTACAATTGTTTTTATCATTGAATATATATATTTATTAATTTTTAGTATTAAAGTTAATTTCAAATTTTGTAATATCATCGGCTTTGACGTTCAATTTTTAAAATTCTTTTATTCTTATTATATATATTGAGCAATATCAATCGGGTTGAAATACCGTAGTCAAATACGAATTTATTACAAATGCAGTGGCATACCTGTTGCTGATTCTCTCGCTGCGTGGTCAGGCGTGCTTCGACACATTGTCGGGTTTCAAGAAATGCTTGTCTTTGCGCCAATTCCCGTGGGTGATGTGTCAGTGCGCCGGCTACGTTCGTCCCGCCAACTACCACGATCGAGCTCAGCAACTAAAATAGAAATAAAGTTTTGCAGTTAGACTCAGTCAACTACTAGAGTTAGCTGAATTCTCAACTGGCATTTGTCTAGTGTTTTAGATCTCAAATTACATTTATTTCTTAATTATTTCTTTTACATGCTTTTGCAAAAATTAAAATCTAATGTTAGTCACATTAAATAGAAGAAGAAATATTATTATACAGAAATTTTACATTGATTTAATTTTTAGTTTCAAAAATTATACATTTAGGTGGAAATGCTTTTCAATATTATGTATTTTCAAAATGATCAGAAATATTTAACTAATCTGTTTTTAGAAAAGGCTTTGAGAACATATTTTTCTTAACAAAAGTTTCTAAGGAGAACAATTCCATAATTCTAATATTAATTCGGTAATAGTAATTATCTCTTGTAGAGATTAAAGACAAAAGAAATGAATTAAATGTAAATAAATGTGGGCTATGACCTAGAGCTGAGTATTTAATGCTCTATAAGATTAATTAAAGTACATTACAATATAATCAATAACACAGACGTTTCGACTTACATCAGGTCATTTTCAATGTTATAGTATAAATCAAAAATTTAAACGGAATCGATTAATATAAAGGATCTGTACATTGTTGAATAGTGTAACAAAAAAACGGAGATTTTCGTCTTTTTCTTCACGATGACTGTTCATTGCGATTATCTGCGAGGATCTACGCTTGAATCTCCGTTTTTGATATTGTTACAACATTCAACAATGTACAGATCTTTTATATTAACCGGTTCCGTTTAAATTTTTAATTTGCACTGTAACATTGAAAATGACCTGATGTAGGTCGAAACGTCTGTGTTACTGATTATATTTTAATGTATTTTAACTAATTTTAGAGCATTTAAATACCCAACTCTGGATCGTAGCCCACATTTATTTATTTTTATTTTGTCACTTCGTTGAGCCTATATCATTATTTTATTACTTTGAATTAAATATCTTTTTGCAATTTAAAAAGTACTAAGTATTTTTTTAATTTCGAATACTTTGGGATGCACGTTAATTAATTCGGTAATAGTAATTATCTCTCGTAGATTAAAAACAAAAGAAATGAATTAAATATTTTCTTGCAATTTAATATAAAGTGAAAGTACAAAGTATTTTTTTATTTCGAATATCTTGGGATATAATCTTGAATATCTTTTGGGATGCATTTTTTTTAAAAAGTTTCGTAATTTTGTCTTCGTAAAACAGAAGAAATATCCACAAAGAGACGGGTCATTATTTTTCGATTATAACGAAAGAATCGTATGCGCACCCACGAGCGAGGATGAGGAAGAACGAGTAGATTACGAGTGTCACAAGATGAGGATCGAGGACGAGGCTGCTAAGAAGAGTTTTAATGCCGGATCAGTGGCTGTAAGCCGGGGGATCGGATAGAAAGGAACGTAGGAGGAAGAGAAAGTTTAATACTGGATTAGCAAAGTGGAAGGGTGGAGATTAAAGGAAAAGAGTCGAAGAAGAAGGTGGATGATGAGGGGTATCTCGCGAGCGTTGAAGGATATGGAAAAAATGCGTTAATGGAAATAATAGAAGATCTCAAACGGCAAGATTTACGAGTGCTAATTCGACATAATATCGCGACTTATTACGACACGAGAGTTTCAGTCGCTGAAAAATAGATAAATTATGCTCTTAAACTTTCACTTCCTCCGTTATATACAAGCTATGGCACATAAAACGTAAAGGAAGGAGGGGGGAGGGGGGAAATAGTGACGAATTTTTTCCTCTCTCCCCTACAAGCTAATTTCAAGATATGATTTTTCACTAAAAGAATACTTTCCACTTTCAAATATACATAAAATTTAATTAAAGTTTCCATAAGTCATATATATGGGCTAGATTTTCATAAAAACTGAAACCTATACATTTGTCACTATTTGCCTCACCCTATAATGGATAAATAGTGACACCCTATGGGACAATTACAAAATACATAATTCTTAACTCCTAATCGATCTTTCTTTTGACATTTTGATTAGATAAGGTAATTTATATTTATTTCTATACTCTGCCATACGTAAATTTTTATTTATTGATAAATAATAGTAACACTATTTGGTAATATTTCTTATTGAAAATCACATTAATCAGGATCTTGCCTTGTAACTAATCTCATTATATCCCAAATGAATTAGAAAAATCATATTCAAATATTAAAAAAGCTTTTTTGTCATTATTTACCCAACTAAAAATTGTCATTATTTGCCCCAGGAGCTACTTTTGTCTTTAAAACTTTACTGAGAGAAATAAAATTAATATACTGCAAGCATAGGAATTATATCAAAATAGAGCAAAAAGGTATCGTATGATATAGAATAGGTTAATTCTCATTCAACAATTCAGCAATTAAGAAAATATAACTTCAAATATCAAAAAAAGATCTAGGTTTTAACTTACCTATTTCACAAATGCAAAATTTTAAACTTCTACGCTAGCTATATTTGGCTTTTGATTTTTACTGCTTTTTCAGAAGCTTTTAATTAGATGCTTGAGAACCTGTCTTTCCATTAACGAGTAGTGGCAAAATAGACGCAGAAAAGGGGAGAAATTTAAAATGACACTATTTGCCCTTCTCTTCCCTTTCACAATCAAATTTGATTACCAATATACGTAAATCACAGATAAAGTAATACGGCCCGTGGCATGGCAGATACGCATTAATTCGACGAATAATATTCTGAACTTTTTTTTATCGCTAACCAAGATTCGCTTGTCACCGCGTCACATTCGACAATATTTGGTTTGGGGCTAAACTGGCCGGCGAAATATTACATGCGTGACAGTTTTTTTTTATTTTACCAATTGTGTAAACTCTGCCTTTCTGCGTATCAGAATCAATTTAGCCCCTCGGGTCTCTGTCGATGCCGACAAAAATGCATATGGACGCGAATCCCACAATCGACGAACCTGTGCATGCGACGAGCCGCCGCGCGTATGAGTGAGTGACTTTATAAAGCCATCGAGAGCGTTGCTCACCAATTCGTTCGACTTTATCGGTGGCAAATTCGCTCGCGAATGCACCGCACGTGCAGCCGCCGCGCCGCTGCGATGCCACGTGTCAGAGTACCGGCCCGGCACGTTTGCGCGTTTGTATCGTGCACTCGCGACATTTGCAGACTTTGCCAGACGCAGCGTGAATTGTCTATCAAAAGGACCCGAGTGACGGTGAGATAAATATGTTCGTACAAATCGATAGTAGACACAGAAATTGAATTTACGCAAACTCTGCTGCACATTTCGCGAGAAACGGATTGGGATTTCGCGCATATGCGGCCCGAAACCAGGAGGTAAAAACGGATTTTTTTATTAATCTAACGAATATCTTTTAATAACTCCATTACGATCGTTATGGTCCTGTAATCACACAGTCTATTAGGAACGTAATCTAGGAATTATACGCACGCGTGTTATTTAGTTTTCATTAAAAATTTTTATCTGATGCATTAAAGTATTACGAAACGGAAGAGATTAAGGGAGAAATAAACTACGGGGGTGGTTGAGAGATTTGTTCATAAAATTCAAAATTAATTACAGTATCAGACTAGACCGTGCAGGAATGTTACAAACAATAATGAAGATCGGAAAGATCGCCAACAACGGTCAGAGCGGATTTTGCGGTGCTCCATAATATTATCAAGTGTGAATCTTACGATTTTTCGGTTTAAATAAACCGCGCACCGCAAATCGTCGGACTTTCAGCGTAGCTCAAAAACCGAGTGGTACCGTAATATCACAATTAAATTGCCAAAGGCAATCCAATAAATCGATGCTCGTATAGCATCTGTTTAAGGTATAGTTAGACCCCAACTATGCGAGTTAACAACAGACTTAAACATATCTTTAAATTTAAACCAAATATATCGTTATATGTAAAATCCAAAAATAAAAAAAAAAAGCATTTTATACATTTACAATAGTAAACATAATAAATATAAATTAAATTAAGAAAAAAAAGAAAACCTACGTATATCACGTAGTAAATAAGATCGTGGCAATGTCGCATTTTCAACGGGCACAAGATCGCTTATTGTATTTGTCTGAAATGAAAAATCCAAAAAGATTATTGTTTATTAAGAGTTTATACATTAACTGAACTTATTTTTTAAAAAATAATGCAAAATTGTAAAAATCGCGCACTTGGAAAAAGAAGGTAGCGACTTTGACAACAAATTTTTCGTGTTTATTATGCAATAAAAATTATTTAATTAAATAATATTATTATAAACTATGGTTTAAGTTGTTAGGGAAATATTTGTGCAGATGTGTGCAAAGGCCCAAGTTAATCGGATGAATAGTTTTTGAGTTATTTTGCATGCCACCAAACACCATTACCTCCGAATAAAAATGTTATTATTACTTGCACAATAAATAATTTTTTTCTGGCAAAAAATTTTTTTTTGTTAGTTCAATAGTACAAGAAATTACCCTATAAAGTTCAAAAGGATTGGTTGAATAGTTTCCTAAAAAAAAATTCCAAAAGAGTCACCTAATTTTTCAGCGTGCTAAATCAGGCTCCCCCTTTAAGATCATTAACTTCTTGAATGCGGTTTCGATGCTATATAAAAATTCGTGTCACATCACAACAGAATTAATGGCTATACTATAAGAGTATAAAATCTGCGATGTTGGAGCAATTATATATCAGAAACGGGACGGTAAATCGAGTTCATATTTTACAGGCATATGCATTAATATCTAAATTACTTGAGGTGAAAGTTTCAAAACATTTTTAAATAATGTGTTTTGGGAATCTAATATATTACCTAAATCCTATGTGAAATAACTTATTGCAAAAAATATTACCTCAACTCAGAATTCGAACCTGGACCTCCCTACTCTCCGGGCAGGTGTCTTACTTATTCGATTACCAAGGCATGTGGTAATCTTTAAATTCAAAATTATTTGTCACTTTAAAATCAGTTATGCAAACATTTAGTTAAATCGTTGTAGTTCCATTAATCTTATATT